CCTGTGTACAGCGCCAGGCTCCTTCACACTCGGTGATGGATACAATGTATGTTTAGTCTGAGTTCAAACATTGATTGGGCTAGTTAGTAACACTCCAGCATTCTGCTTCGCTACTCTGAACTACGTGAATAAAGTCAGTCCTTGTCACGTCAGTCTTTGTATTAAAGTCTTCCCTGCGCTATTCAGCACCTTTTGTATGTATGAGAATGTACATTGTCTGTCGAGATTCTACTCGCACTGTATTGTCCATTCAGTCATTTTATCACATTGCAATTCCTCGGTTATTCCGTACATTGCATATTTGTGCATGTAACAGTTGGTTTCGGAGCTTTCCACGTGAATCAGGACAACCTGATCTGACACGTGTGCGGGGACTAAAAAGCTAGTTAGTCTTTTCGGTTTGATTAGGACATACTAGTTAGACCCCAAAATCACGATCTTGACCTTATTACCGAAAATCAAAATTTTTTCTTTTCTCGGATTTTATTTTCTCGCTATTCTGCTGTGGAAAATCGCTATATCGCAACATCTGAAATTCCTATTGTCGTTTTTCTTTCTGAAAATCCGAAATTTCGCTATTGAAAATCCGAAATATTTTTCTTTTCGAAAGTTTCGATTTCCTGTTGCATTTCCCGTTACTTAGAAATTCGGAATATTTTCTTCTCTGAAATTCGTTTTTTCTGAAAACGGTACGTTATTATTTTTCAAACTGCGAATCGGAATAAATCCGAGTACGTGTCTGTTCGGAATTTTTTTTGCAGTTGTAGGATTCTGTCATTCAGTTTGGTAAATCATTTGCAGTCTAAAGTCGAATTTTTTTTCGCTTTCAGTGATCATTTCGTACTTTAAGGGAGGTTGGGGACCTACCGAACTTGCAAAAATCGGGATTTTTATTTTCTCGAAATTTTTTTTTGCAAAGTTCCAACTTTTCTGTTTTGATTACTGGCTCCTTATCTAAGTGTGAGTTGGGCGATTATCCCACCCACCCCTCCCCACCTACGTTGTTGCCATCTCTTGCCTTATCTGCGCTGTTTGTCTCCGGGTACCCCTTGCGGCAGCATTGGTAAGTTGCCACGTCAGCAGGCCACGTCAGCAGACCACGTCCGAGTCAGCAGAACACGTCAGCAGGCTACGTTAGTACGTCAGTAGGCCACGTCATCAGACCACATCCGAGTCAGCAGAACAGGTCAGCAGGACACGTTAGCAGTACCATGTCAGCGGCAAGGGATACCACATCATCAGGCACCGGCTTGGTCTATGCTGTTGCGTTCACAGACAACAGTCATGGATTAGAGGCCCAGGGAAACAAACGAGGCCTATCAGGCCCACATGTTAGCCTGGAGTACCGAGACAAAGAAGCAAGCAGATGACGTTGCGGCGGCAGCAAAGAAGCGAGCAGAGGATGCCGAGCAGGCACGTCTGCCAGCACTTGAACAACAGCGCCAGCATGACGAGGCAGCAGCAAGGGCTGCCAATGAAGAAAGAACCCAGCGTCGTGAGAAGATATTTATCGGAGAGCGGGCGTTACTTACCATGGCAGCAGAATGGCGGACCGAGGCCGAGAATAGCCAGTTGGAGGACAGCGCGAACAAGATAGCGCTCTTCCTCTCGCATCTCACGAATCTCCTGGCAACCTGCATTACACAGCAGGCGGAGATCCTTGGTCTCGACAGCTCGCTGGCTCAAGTCCAAAACCGCCTTCAGCGGTTGGAGCACCGACCAGTCGCGGCAGCCGACGCAGGCTCTTCCAACACTGCCGACCGCCTCAATGCATTGGAGATGGACGTCGGCTCACTCAAGGATGGCGTGCAATTACAGCAGACCGCGACGCAACAGTTGCAACGACGGATCTGCACTACCGCCACCACCTCGAGTTCAGAACCGCGTGAGACAACTCCAAAGTTCGACGGGCAGGAGATCTTCTACGACTCAATGAAGACATACCCGATTCCATGGTTTCACAAGTTTCAGCTCACGCTGCAGCTCCACAACGTCAAGGAAAACCAGCACCACGCTTACTTGTACTCTCGCTCAGGGGGCGCGTGTCAGGCTTGGTTGGACAACCTGTTGTCCAAGTACGGAGTGGTAGCCAACGACTTGCACACCAAGATCAGTTGGGATGATCAAAAGGCGGCGTGGCACAAACGGTTCCAGGTGGAGCCGCCCGAAATCAAAGCCATGGACAAGCTCATGGTCTTCGAACAAGGCACGCTGCCGAGTACGGACTGGATCGCCGAGTACCAACGCTTGACGTCAGTCCCAGACATCCAGATGGGCTTCAAGGCCATCTGCCACTACTTCATCTCAAGGTCATGTCCGACATTGAGCAATGCCCTGACGCATGTCGAGGACACCTTGACGACGACGGCGGCGGAATTATTTGACAAGGCTGCGCAGATCATTGTCATGAACAAGGAGGCCAAGAACCTCCGTTCATCTGCGTCAGACCCGAGCGGGAACCAGCATCGGCCAAGAGTGGTCGTGGTCGCAGCGACAACGCCATTGGACCAAACCAGCGAGGCTGTGTCTGCGAGTGAAGGGGACAGATTCGCAGCCGCCTGGGAAGGTGGCTGCCCCGGCAAAGGCCGAGGACGCGACAAGACGAAGACACACACCGTTTCTAGCCCCGGGCCCGGTGCAGCAGCTCAGACAGGCCCATGGACCCCGTATGGCATCTCAGAGTCCGCATACAAGGCGCGCGAGATATTCCACTATTGCCTTTTGTGCAACAGCGATCTTCATCAAACGCAGGGTTGCCCATTGAAAGGCAAGGGCAGACAGGGAAACTGAGCACCACCGAGAGTGATGCGATGACACTCTCGACGCTTTCGGAACTGGTTTCTTCACGAGTAACCAGCCTTCATTCCGAGGCGCACGTGGAAGTCGACAGTCCTCCGCTTCTACTTTCTTTTGAGGACTATGCTGCCCGGCTCATTCCAACGCTGGGTACTCAAGCTCAAGGACAAGGAGTGTGTGCGGTTTCTTCTCCGTCTGGCAACAACGACATATCGTCTTCAAGTGGTTCTTCACGGGATTCGGCGCGCGAGTTCAATATAGAGGCATTGGACCCGCTCACGTCTGAGGACTTTGCATGGCTTTCTCTCTTGACCACAGGCTGTTTGTCGGGACTGCAATGCGCAGCACTTAGCGCTAATCTTCACACTTACCTATCCTTCTATGCACCACCAACTTCGCCGACGGATGGCGAAGTCGCGGTGGGGGACATCGTGGCGTATACTACCAAGGTGGCCCACGAGTTTCGCACGCAGCGGTACGATGATAACAACGCACCACTCATGTATGTCCGCATTCAGGTTGAGCAAGCGTTCTGCAGCGCTTTGCTGGATAGTGGCGCATCTTGCAACTTCTTGAACCAGTCTTTTATGCAAAGGGCTGGCCTTGGCGCACAAGCTCGGAGGAAGGCAAACCCGACGGCGATCAAGTTGGCGGATGGAAAGACGCAACAACTTCTCGACCGTTACATCGAGGCCGTACCGGTCTACTTCGCACCTCATACATGTTAACCGGTGACATTCGATATTCTCGACACGAACTTCGACATCATTCTGGGAATGCCTTGGCTTGCAAGTGTGGATCACACGGTCAACTTCTATCGGTGGACTCTAAGCGTTCGCGACGCCTTCGGCGCGGAAGTGGCGTGTACGATTCCTCTACCACACTCTTCGATCCGGTGCCAAGTCGTGACAGCCAAATCATTCCGGGCGACTAGCGCTTACGAGCAGCCCGAGGAGATCGACCTATGTTTCCTACGGACCGTCGCGGTAGCCGACTCTTCACCCACGGACTTGTCCTCGGACCCCCGTGGTGTACGGTTGCTGGACGAGTTCGCCGACATCTTCGAGTCACCTACCGGTGTGGTGCCGGGTCGGCCGATCTCTCACGAGATCATTCTTGAGGCCGGTGTCGTGCTGCCGAAAGGTTGCATCTATCGGATGAGCGAGGAGGAGTTTGAGGTCCTCCGCGCACAACTTGATGATTTGTTGGCCAAGGGCTGGATCCGCCCGAGTAGCTCCCCATATGGAGCACCAGTTCTCTTCGTCAGGAAGAAGAACAAGGATCTACGATTGTGTATCGACTACCGCAAGCTCAATGCGCAAACCGTCAAAAATGCGGGGCCTCTTCCTCGCATCGACAATCTTCTCGAGCGGTTGGTTGGCACGAAGTATTTTTCCAAGTTGGATTTGAAATCGGGATATCATCAAATCTCGATGCAGCCGAACGATCGCTACAAGACCGCGTTCAAGACCCGGTACGGACATTTTGAGTGGGTGGTCATGCCTTTTGGCCTCACCAACGTCTCAGCGACCTTTCAGGCGGCGATGACCAATGAGTTTCGTGCAATGTTGGACCGGTTCGTGCTGGTCTACTTAGACGATATTCTCGTCTGTAGCCGGTCCTTGGAGGATCATCTGGGGCATCTTCGACAAGTGTTGGAGACGCTCCGCCGCGCCAAGTACAAGGCCAACCGCGACAAGTGTGAATTTGTCCGGCAAGAGCTGAGATACTTGGGCCATTTTGTCACACCGGAGGGCATCAGTCCGCTATCGGACAAGATTCAGGCCGTCCAAGAGTGGCCGGAGCCTCGGAACGTCACGGATGTCCGCTCGTTCCTCGGTCTTGCCGGCTACTCTCAGCGCTTCATTAAAGGCTACTCCAAAGATTGCGGCCCACTTGAACAAGCTTCAGTGCGAGGATCGGCCGTTTGACTTCGGAGAGGAGGCGCACGGATCATACTTCACTCTCAAAGTCGCGCTATTGTCTGCGGAGGTCATGCGGATATACGATCCGCTCGCGCCTAAAGGTGTCACTACGGATGCGTCAGGCTATGGCATTGGCAGTCCTCGAGCAACATGATGGTGTGGACTGACACCCGGTCGAATACTTCAGCAAGAAAGTGCCTCTTGTGCATTCCATTAACGATGCACGCAAGAAGGAGCTACTCGCCTTTGTCCACGCGCTCAAGCGGTGGCGGCACTTCCTCCTTGGTCGAAGCCAGTTTCGATGGGTAACGGACAACAATCCATGGGTCTTCTACAAGACCCAAGACACCGTCAACAGCACCATCGCCCAATGGATGGCTTTCATCGACCAGTTCGACTTCTTTCCCGATCACATTCCTGGGAAGTGGAACCGTTTTTCGGATGCTCTTTCACGGCATTCCATTGTACCGCAGTCTACTCGACCTTCGAGATCGACGACGACCTGCGGAACAACTTCATCTGCGGCTACCAAGCCGACCCCGAGTTTCGCGACAAGTACGCGAATTGCTCCTCTCCTAATCCGACTCCTTCTCACTACCGGATCCAAGAGGGGTACTTGCTTGTCCACACGTGGTGGAAACACCTTCTTTGCGTACCGAGTGATCCTCACTTGCGTACACGGCTTCTTGGCGAGTTCCACGACGCTCCCGCTACTGGACATTTTGGAGTCAATCGCACGATTGGCCGACTTCGGCAGCGATTTTGGTGGCCTGACCTTATCAGCGATGTCACACGCTATTGCGAGTCGTGCGAGGTTTGTCGACGCTGCAAATCCCGCAATCATCGTCCGTACGGCGAGTTACGACCATTGCCAGTCCCGTTGCGGCGAAGGTGAGCGATTGCCATGGACATTACCGGCCCGTTCCCCAAGCGCAAGACCGGAGTGGATGGGATTTTCACGGTGGTCGACCGACTCACCAAGTTCGCCATGTTTTTGCCTTGTCGCTATCATGCCAAGGCACTGGAGTTGGCTGAGGTTCTTTACGTTGGTTGGATTCGCACCAAGGGTTACCCCAAGGAGATCGTCTGCGACCGCGACACTCGGTTCATGTCCGATTTTTGGTTGGCGCTCATCAAGCAATGGGGCTCATCTCTCAAGCCCAGTTCAGCTCGCCGCCCTCAGACCGATGGCCAGACGGAGAGGGCGCATCAGACCGCACAGGTTCTCCTTCGCACTCTCATCCGCCCCGACCAGAAAGACTGGGTTGAGCGACTGCCCGATGTTGAGTTGGCCTACAACTCTTCCATCCACCCGGCTATTGGGATATCGCCCTTCGAGTTCGAGCATGGCTCGCCGGTCACGTCACCGTTGGACACTATTACTCCACGCACGGCCGAGAGTGACGACCATCTTTTTTTCTTGCGTCGGATGCAAGAGCTTCTTGTCAAGGCACGCGACCAGATGGCAAAGACGCAGCAGCGCATGAGCCAGCAGGCCAATCGCCAGCGTCTTCCTTGTCCATTCCGCGCCAGGGACCTCGTCTAGGTTTCCGCAGCGGAATTCAGCCTTGAACAAGACGTCTCTCGCAAGCTCCTTTCGAAATGGATGGGGCCTTGGCCGATCATAGAGCCCGCTAGGGACGCACCCGAAGGATCCTCCTTCACGATTCAGGTGCCTAGCCACTTGCCTGTCTACCCAGTCTTTCATTGCTCCAAACTGGCTCTCTACACGCCAGCGGATCATGACGACTTTCCCGAGAGACGTACGCAAGACCCACCTTCTATGGATGTTTTTCAGGAGGTCGGCGACATCATCTTCCAGCGACGCTTTGGCAACAAGCCAACTGAGTATTTAGTGCATTTTGCATACTGCACACACCGAGCTGACCGTTGGTTAACTCGTGCAGAACTTCAAGCAACAGCTCCAGATGTTCTCGCACGCTACGAACGCAAGGTGCAAGGCAAGCCGGTTTCTTCGGCTCCCCGCCACGCCCGCGTCCAGGTTCCACCTTCAGATCGACGGCTTCGCCCTCGCCCCGGCTTGACTTCATAAGGAGGCGGGGGTGTTACACGCTGCGCGTGCACACGCAGGCCATTTTGCAGGCCTGCGTCCGTTCAGGCCAAAAGCCTGAACTTCAGGGCTTATAGGCCCCATGTTGGTTCAGGCCGAAAGCCTGACTTTCAGGGCCTACAGCCCCTGCGACGGTTCAGACTAAAAATGGTAATAGCATTTTTAGCCTGAACCCAAGGGCCATTTTCGGTCGTTCAACAGAACGACCGGCCCAGAAAGTCAGGCCTGAACCGGGGTTTCGAGAATAGACTATTAATAGTCTGTTTCCCACGCCAGCCTCAAGCAGGCTGCTGCACGCCAGCCCCTGGCACACTTCGGCATTGGCAAGAGCTGCCTCCTCGGCCCGACTAGCCTCCAGTAGTCAGGAGGTAGGTCGAGGTAGTACATAGGACTTCCCAAGCACTTCCGAGGTAGGCAGTCGGTCAGTTGTAGTCTTCAGGATTCGGGAGCAGCACTCTGGAGGGATCGCTGCAGTATAGTAGTAGTAGTAGCGTTAGCTTGTAGTCTTCAGCGCTGGGCGCAGTAGGTAGCTGTAGTCTCCAGCGCTGGGCGCCATAGCTAGGTAGTACTAGGGAGAGAGAGAGAGCTTGGGCGGAGGCCATAGGTA